AGCTCTCCCAGTATATCTTGGTCCATCTTCTGCTCAGAGAGATTAGGTGTTTCAAGGTCACACAGCTAAGAAGTAGAAGAATCCCTGAGTTCTTCAGCAGTAAATCTCACACGTTTCCATTATACCACAGTGCCACCCCTATAGCAGCAATAACTACATTGGCAAGCATTGGCACTATAAATGAGAAACATAATAGCTCTTTCCAAGGATTTTTATTTCCTTGGCAAGAGTATATAGAACATTAAAGTGGAAGAATATGTTTTCTGACTTAAGATGAGTGCTCTATATTTTATTTTATTGTGATAATTAAGGTTCAGTGGAAAGGATAAGGAACAAGATATTTTCATTATTATCCACTGCTATGTGAAAGGACCTCTGGTGGCACAGTGCATAAAACGTTAGAGTGATAACCAGAAGATAGACAGTTCAAACCCACCAGCTGCTCCACAGGAGAAAGATGCATCATTCAGCTTCACAAACCCTATGGGGCAGTTCTACTCTGTCCTCTAGGGATGATATGAGTTGGAATTTATTCAATAGCAATGAGTTTATTCCTGTTTGAACATTATTCCTCACATCATTCAAAAAACTTTTTTTATCATGACATATCCACATTGCTTCTTCAATACAGATGGTTTTATGTGCTGACTTTAAAGGCATTGATATGGAAACCCCATTAAGCTTGACTTCCAATCTCTCTTTTTTTTTTCATTTTATTTTAAAATAACAATGATAAGCCCTTTCTGCTATTAAATATATTAAAATATCAAATTATAAAATATAAAAAGAGACTAGTCATAGGTAATATAAGAATGAGCTATCTTGGAGATCCTGTGTGTATTGTAACTGAAGTTGGTCGAGTCATGTAGAACAAATCACCTTATCAATGGCCTGTAATCCTGTGAAAAACCTTAAGAGGCCCTCACCAAAAGAAGGTTTATAAACATTCAGTGAAGTCAGTTACAGAGAAGTACTCACTTGTAGGTAATAGACCCAAGACCACATAACAGAAATCTTTGAAAGGAAGACAAACTTTACTCAGGAAGCCTTCACACAGGAATAGAAGCTTTTGAGGCCTGAACACTCTCCACTTCCTCGCCCATAGATCAGGTTCACCTTGCCATTTTTCAGGTGGTAAAGGTTTTATCTCTAAACGAGGGTAGAATGAGTGAGTATGATTACTGTGGGAAAAAAAACACCAAAAAAAAAACCACACCTCACTGCCTTTGAGTCGGAGCTGACTAACAGCGACGCCTCCTTGGGTTTCCAAAGCAGTGTCACTATTCCTTCCAAGGAGTGGCTGGTGGGTTGGAACCGACAGCCTTAGAAACCACACTACCAGAGCTTCCAAGAAAAATGTATTAGATGGGATTTATAATTGCTTTAAACCCAATCGTCATCTTAGCTGTTACGTATGTAGACTCTCCTTCCTTCTTGCACTTAGAATCGTAGTCATTCTTTTTTCCTATTATCTCTACTTTTTCACCCTTCTTTTAGAACTTCCCAATAACCATAGGTCATTACCTCCAACTTAACTACTTGTCTTGATAAGGATAAGGATGTCACACTTTGGATGGACTAATTCAAAGTTTGGTATGATTTTTCTCACATATCTCTTCCCCAAGGAAGAGCCTAGGTCAAAGCCATCACTCCAATTCCATTAACGCTGGTCAGGCATGTGTGATAAAGAGGAAAAAAGATGTGCACATCGACCTCACATTTAGTCATTTGTTCCAAAGAGGATGCACAAATGCCGTGAAAGCTGTTGAGTGTACATTTCGGAATTACCTGTATGTTGTGTCTTATATATTAAGATATATTCATATATTTCAATATTTTTACACCAATTTAGTGTGTTTTGAGGGATCATGACCAGGTGGCCCAGAAAAGTATAATAGGAAGGGCGCCAGTAGCTTCACTGACACACTCTGTAGCTTCTTTGAATTTAGACTATAACGTCAGCATCTTGCATCAGCCACTACTAGTAAATGCGCCTTTTGTTCCTGATCATCACTGTTCCATCCCACGGCTGTTGTGTTTGTGCAGACCCTTTACATTTGTATATAGACAAAAACTCACTGCCATCGAGTCGGATCCGACTCATAGTGACCCCTCGGGTTTCCGAGGCAGTATCACTACAGGAGTGGATTGCTGAATCTTCCTTCCAAGAAGGTGGGGGTTCAAACCCATCACCCTTCTGGTTAGCAGTCAAATGCTTTAGGCACTATGCCACCTGGGCTCTGCATAAGCAAACCTGGGTAAGTCCCCAGGTTGCAAACATCTTTCCTATTGTCTCCACTTTTTCACCCTTACAACTCATACTTGCCCTTTTATGTTATGTAAATTTGCTCTCATTTAGAAATGACTGGCCCAACTCCCAAACCCCCCCCCAAAAAAAAACCCACTGCCACTGAATCATTTGCAACTCACAGTGACCCTATCTATACTTACAAGACATATTTCATCACACAACCACCTTCACTTGCTGTATATGTGCAGATTTTAAATCACTGAAAGGTTTCTAGCCCTTTCTTGCCTAAAGTAAGGCTAAATAAGAACAGTATGCACCTGTTCCAACTTACCTACAAATCTGAGTTAGGAAACACCTAAAAATTTGAGCTCATAACCCGAGGGCTGCCTATATACACAAACACATGAAAAATACAGCCACACATGTATAGAATATGTGCTTGCTTCCATTAAATTCAACTCTTCCCCGACACAAAAAAAGAAAGATTAATCATAAATTAGCTCAAAAATCTACTAGTTAATTCATTTGTATATTACATGTATAAAATTTTGAATATTCAGTAATAGATGACCTTTACAGTTGATTTTATCCTCTTTAAAACTTAAAAAATAAATAAATAAAATTTCCTAGCATGAGACCTACTTATTTATACAAAAGTTTCAGATATATTAAGTAACATATCTTTGTTACTTTTTTTGGAAGAGTTGATGCTTTTGAGTTGTGGTGCTGGCGAAGAATGCTGAAAGTACCGTGGACTGCTAAAAGAACTAACAGATCTGTCCTGGAGGAAGT